GATCAGTCCATGCAGGAAGAAAAGAAGTAGGACCCGAAATTTAGGTCTTATGGGTCTTTGAAGTCATTAGATCGCGCAACCGAAAACTTCGGAGATCCATGTGACCTCAACTTCAAGTCCCCGCACGATGTTTTTTTCTCCGTTTATGGGCGCCACTGTCCCTTTGCTCTTTTCCGGGAGACATCAATTATATGTATCTACGCTGAGACACCGGTATCAGCTCAAGTATTTAATTGGCTTTAAGTTTTTTTTCCGTTTATGGGCGCCACTGTCCCTTTGCTCTTTTCCGGGAGACATCAATGGACCTGTTGCAAACTTTTGCTAGAGCAAAAATAAGAGTTGTTTCTTGAAGATAATGCCTCAAAAATCACGATGAGCGNCAGTGGCCACTGGATCAGTCCATGCACGAAGAAAAGAAGTAGGAACCGAAATTTAGGTCTTATGGGTCTTTGAAGTTTTTAGATCGCGCAACCGAAAACTTCGGAGATCCATGTGACCTCAACTTCAAGTCCCGCGCACGATGTTTTTTTCTCCGTTTTTTATGGGCGCCACTGCCCCTTTGCTCTTTTCCGGGAGACATCAATTATATGTATCTACGCTGAGACACCGGTATCAGCTCAAGTATTTAATTGGCTTCAAGAATCAATGCGCAGGACGATGTGTATACCACGCACATCATGACGTCAGATCGTGTCGAAAAAACCATGATTCTCCATCATTCGTGAGATTCCGGATGTTTTCACCGCAGTCTGGGAGCACTGAGCTCAGGTCATCCCGCTCTGATGCCGTTAATGACGGAATTTATCGATGCCACTTTTCCGGGCCGATATTCCGGCGAAAACAGGCAAACCGCACCGTGTGCCGGTGACTGGTAACCTTACAAGTTAGGTATCAGGTGTCGCCCTTGCGAAGGATGTGCGGTATCTTTCACAGAAGCAACTTACAGCGGTGAAGGGGGAGGGGAGTTTAGGGATGATCGTTGACTGCTTATTTCATGACCTCAAGTTCCGGAGTTCATGCCATAGTTCCTATCCCTATTACCTTTTTTCTCTTTCCTTTGATTTCACCGGTAAGCTCGGCTAATCTTTGGTTTTAAGCTTACAAATTAAGATTACTCATATTTGGACTACATTTTGCGATTGGGAGCTGATATTTGGACCGCGTTAAACAGAAAGGAACCACGCCACAGCAGCTATTGCCAATTTTAATTCGCTAATTTAATTTTTTTACATGAAAACAGTTGTGCGGATTTTCGTGCAAATTTCAGTGAATTTCCTCCATAGTACGAAGCAAATTCCCTAACATTTTCAAAGGGATCCGCACAAACGTTTTCTCGAAAAAATTTAAATTGCCCAGTTAAAATTGGCAAAAGCTGATGTGGCTTGGTTCCTTTCTATTAAGCGCGGTCCATTTTTGGCGCATTTCAAAAACAACGTAAGTGCCATAAGTTGTTTATCCACATAGGTTGGTGCTTAAGTAAGCCACATTGTGGTTCCTTACTGCAAAATGTGGTCCATCTGGACTTAGCTAGCCTCAATCCTGATTAAATTCAAAATCGAAAAACAACCGAAGTCCCGACGAAAAATATTAATATTATCATTAATTTGACCAACCAAAGTAATTAAGAAAGAAAGAGGTGGAAAACGAGGCAAAAACGACAGAGGAATTAAATGGTTACAACATTACTCTTAAGATTAAAACTACACATAGTTTAGGATAGCTCTTACCATTTACTTTAATCGGTAATTTAACCGGTATATTGGTGATTAAAATGCGACACCGCGTATCTCCATGGCGGTGTTTCAAAACCTCCGATTTTAGTTTATTTTTTCGAAGGGGAACAAGTCACCTTTAAAGCTTAAAAATGCAGAATTTTTTTCCGATGGAGAAGAAAACCTGAGGAAGTTTTCAAGAAATGGAGATGTTGCATGTGTGAGGAATTTGCGGTTTGACTGTTGATTTTTATGTAAAAGATCGCGAGAAACACGATGGTGCCACTGGTTTTCTCTGAAATCATCTCCCAAGCTCAAAAAAAGCTCTCAAGTTGAAGCCCAAATGGAGGGGATATCCCACCCTACCCTGAGAGTCCACCTCTACATCAAAACGATCTCTCCATGAAGAGATAGGGAGCAAATACATTAGCAGGGTTGCCACTTTATTTGGGGACTCCAAAACTGAAAACACCGCAACCCTGCTAATGTATTTGCTCCCTATCTTTGCATGGAGAGTTCGTCTTGATGTAGACGTGGACTCTCATGATAGCGTGGGATATCCCCTCCATTTTGGCCTCGACTTGAGAGCTTTTTTTGAGCTTGAAAGATGATTTCAGAGAAAACCAGTAGCACCATCCTGTTTCTCGCGAACTTTCATGTAATAAATCAACAGTCAAATCGCAAATTCCTCACACATGCAACATCTCCATTACTTTGATTACGTAGTTTACGTAGTTTTCCAAGGAAAAAATAAAGTATGACCGGAAGTCTACAACATCGCAAACGGAGACACGTGGTCTCGTCCTTGAGCCATCGATATGTAAGTAAAATACCACTTCTTGGTTTGAAATAATATTTCGCTTCTAAGTTTGAAGATGTGTTTTTCTCTTGTTCGCGCTCAATCGACCAGCCGTTGCAGATATCTGTTCAGTTTTTGCTTCCTCTTAAGTCCCCGTATCGGTCAAACAATAATTCTTAACGTTATTCGTCAAGCTCAATTCGTGACGCGGTCGAACTGGTATTCGATATATCGCATCGATTAGGTAAAAAATATCGGTAGCTTTTGAATTTTCGGTAAAAAAAAAGGACGATAGCCCCAGCGCATAAGCCTAAAGAATCATTCTAAACCCAAAAATCGGCAAAATTCAGAGAAACGAATGCAGAATAGTGTTTGGAAAAAAACCTCGCATTCGATACAGAAATCGATAGCTGAATCGAATGCGAGGTTTTTTTTCCAAACACTACTCTGCATTCGTTTCTCTGAATTTTGCCGATTTTTGGGTTTAGAATGATTCTTTAGGCTTATGCGCAGGGGCTGTCGTCCTTTTTTTAACAAAAATTCTAAAGCTCCCAAGATTTTTGACCTCATCGATGCGATATATCGCATACCAGTTCGACCACGTCACTTGAGCTCGACGAATCACCTTAAACAAAAAACGCCTGCCAGGTCCTATAGTACTCGCCGCTGCATGTCAAACGGCCTTTTCATGCCTTGACTCTATCAGCTCGCTCAAGAAACTTTTCTTGGCACGTGTAAAATTTATTTCTCCAAAATAGGATCTTCCTTTTATTCGCACTGATTCAATTAGTTTCACCCACAATCAGTGTACACAACGAGGATCTCACAGCGGATGACGCGGTTACTAAGCTGGAAAAGAGATCTTACACAAGACGCAACTATATCAACGTCCGAGAAGCGATATGTGCCTACCCTATTTATTGAAGGGGTTTCAACTCTCACGTGAAAGCGATTTCCTTGACTTCAGCAAATCCAATCCACCTTCAAGCAACCAAGTTAAATTTTATTTCCTACAATTAGACGGTGAAAGTCCGCAACCTCGTATTTCGGTTTGCGACGTTGCAGACTTCCTGTCATACTTTCTTTTTTACTGAAAAACTACTCAAAGGAAATTCTTAAAAACTGTCGTAGTTTTTTTTTTCTTTGTGCGAAAAAAAAGTCTGCGAAAACTTCAAGGCACGGTGTTGCGAAATCTCCGCTCCTATGTTATTTTTCGAAAGGAGGCCAAACCAACTTCATGGTTTGAAGTTTTCTCAGAATACTCTTTGGAGAGAGAAGAAAAATCACTGAAATTTTCAAAAATTGACGTTTCTTAGTTTTCCATGTAGAAAATGAAGTATGAAAGGAAGTCTGCAACGCCGCAAACTGAGATACCCATTCCTGCATTTCCATCATCGAAATGTGCCTCTTCTTCTTTGTTTTTGAAAAGATTTGTGCCAATCAAGTCATCAGACGCAGTCATGTTAAGTATGCCTTAAGGTAGAAACTGAAGTTTTTCAGCACAGCGGAAAACCCGGTACAGGGTAAAACCATCGATTTTCACTTTTCAGTGTTTCACTTTCAACGACACTCTTAAGAACTCAGGGTCAAAGTTTCAAGGCATCACTTTTATGACTGATGTCTTAACTAAGCTTTCAAAGCGAATCGTTTCTAAGGACAGCGACACTGCAAGAGTTCTGAAAAACTTGAGCAGCTTTTTTCTCGATTCCCCAACCCAACAAGTCTTCACCAATTGTTCAATATAAATTCATCAGTCCTCAAACTCTAAATTGTTCTCGAAGGATCAATGTTTGGAATTATTGGATGTTCTTCTCACCAATGACGTAACACTGACCCCTTGATCTCTGGTCCGTTTATCTCCCTCTTTTTGAGGCACATTTTTTCTGACCCCGCATCACACATTACAGTATGCTACATTTTCCAAAATGAACATGAGTTTTCGGCTCATGTTCTTTGTATGTTTCATTTCATTGGACTGCTCAAACAAAAAATCACTTCCGCCAAAATTTCTTTTAACCGCACTCATACAAGTCGTATAAATGCTCAGTTAAAAATTTTCCTTTTCGATTTCGAATCATCGGATGGGGCGAGGGTGGGTTAGCTACATATTTTTCTCTGAATTAATTTCAAAATTAATATGTTACTGTTCCCACGTGTTTCATGACATAATAAGTTCAATGCACAGTTTTTTTCTTATTCTTTTTTTTAAAAAAAAAAAAACATGAAATTTCAATGTATAAAGATTGAATTATTAAGTTGCCTTTTACAAAATTTCATGAAATTTTGAATCCCCGGTGGATGTCTACACCTATTTACTTCTCTGTCCCACTCATCACGTATTCACTCCCTCAAAATTATGGAGTCTACCACATTTATCTAATCGATCAACTTTCCGTCTGATTATCTCATGAAAGATCAGGCTGCCGGTGGATATGAAAGAGCCTATTTTAATCAAAAGGAACCATCTTCATTATGCCATGGGCTCTCTTAGGCATGTATTCTTACGGGTCTCAGGGCCTAGGTCACACTGGAGATAGTCCTTTTTGATTTAGAGACGTCCTTCAGATAACTCGGTGCATCGTTCTCGTGTCCCGTGGCGTCGCTTTATTCGCTCGACCAATCAAAGGCCTCAAACGCTTAGGCTACCGGTGACATAACGATGAGTATAAGTGGCAGCTGGATCGGTACATCGTGGCACTTGAAATTTGACGACCCGAGAGGGTGCGTCTAAAAATTTCTTTTTTCTTCTTTCTGTCGTTTTTCTTTCTCTGTTGTAGTGAGTGTGTGGTAAACTTACAGTGATGGTGAAAAAAATTTCGTGTGCGCAAGTGTATTTTTCCTCGTGCCTAAGGTCGTCTGGATTTTATATGTTTTCATGAGTTGCAAAATCTCTTTTGCCGGAATAATATTGATGATTATGAGCGGTATATTTGTACTTCGCTACAGTCGCGACAGCTTCTTACAGTCCTGTAAAAGGATGGGGGGGGGGGAATAGGATGGGGCTCTCCATTTTTTGAGTAAGATAGCTCATTTTTGCGCAAAATAAGCGATTCTGGATAAGTAAAGCAAGTTCACTTTTACGGTTAGGCCAATAAAATTTGAATTTACTCTCGTCGTGAGAGCGTTTGAATCTAAGATAGCCTCCGCCAGTTGTCAGCAAATTTTGCGATTCCATAGAGACGTAACCTTTGATGGATATTCATATGCAGTCAAAGGGAAATGGACAATCGACATTGGCTCACTACGGCGGCAACTTTTGGAATACTTTATAGCAAGAAAGGAGAGAAGAAATAATAGCGGAAGAAATAAAAATAAGAAAGGGTCACGATGTTACAGAAAATGAAATATGGCAAGGTGGAAAATTGAAAAATTGGAAAGTGGTGGAAAATGTAATTCTGTGAAGCTTGATCCCAAAAAGTGCTTAAAATTATTTTTCTCATAGATATTCTGATCCGGAAGCACTATCGAATGAATGAGATTGCAGATATTTGGTTGTGAGACATGAATGATATGATCTCACCTTTTTTCTAAGGCAAAAAAATAGATAGAGGAGCCGAAACTCGTCGTATCACGTATAATTTACAGGCAAGTGAGCTATTTGGAAATTTCTACGATTCCTAAAGTTCTATTTTGGATTTCTATATAGTATTCTTCCTCGGATTTCGTCAGATTTTTTCTTGGATTCCGTCATGAAAATCGGGGTTAATACATGTGTTTAGCCGCATTGAATGGTAAGTGCAAATAAATGCATGAGAGAGAGAGCTCTCTTTCGTATTCCACCATTTGTCATCAACCAGAAACTTGACGGAGGGAAAGTTTTAAAAAAACACTAATTGAAAAGGAAATGCGCGGACGTGATGGAGACGTGTGGACTTGCGGACTGTTAAACTCTTGGCGAGAAGGCAGGGGAGCAGCGTGCTCTTGAAGAACAGATGTACGCCAGGAAGAGGTAATCTAAACATTTGTTGAATTTTCGCTAAATGTGAGTGCTGCAAAGTTTAAAGTATAAGTAAACTGTAGCAGGTTAAGAGAGGACACAGAAATTCAGGTACAGGAGAAACCTGGAACGAAAGTAGTGGGAAAACAGGAGACGGCGCCTTGTGAAAATAAGTAAGATTGTAAGAATGAGTAACTTTAACGCAAAAAAAGAAAGGAAAAGAAAGAAGATTTTGAAATATCTGAATATAGAAGTTAGCGAGAAGTAAATATAAGATTCAGATTTAAGTGGAACCTTTTCTTCAATATTAAAAATGGGTTGTAGGTACATTTTTTTTATGCACGTTGAATTAAATTGTCGAAGTGCTGAGAGGAAATTGTCAATTCCACAGTTAAAGAATTGAGGAACAGCCTTCGAAGTAAAATTGCACGCGCTCCTTCAGGCCTGTTTTCATGCACCACGCATTACGCGGACATGTTACATGTTCTTACACAATAGACCGGTAAGGCTGATAAATGCGGAGAGTATTTTTCTATTTTTGTCATTCTCTATCACTAATTTTTATTTTTGTTTTGGGAAACTTGTACTTAATATCTCGCCTATTTACAAGGAGTATTAAGAAATGTATATAGGTAATAACTGTGAAATGACTTACTAACTATTATACAGGGCTACTATTATTAACTATTAGGGCTTGACTATTATTAGCATATATCATTTCATCTACTGACTATTTATACAGGGTTGGCGGTGGACAGTGGCGTGGCGTGCTTTGCGATTTATCGATTGATCTGTCAATTAAACCTATGAAAAAAGATCGATTATCAGGGTGTTCGTAGCGAACACCTTAATAATCGATTCTTTACCATAGCTTCAAATGGCGAGATATCGATAATCGATCATTCACGCCACGCCACTGGCGGTGGACCAAGTGGATCGTATTTAGCAAAAAGGAACCAGCGGGATTACAGTGTTGTAAAATTGTTGCCTCTTCATAATTATCTAAAAAATCTCTCAGAATAGCAAAAATTGTTTTGCTTCCCACCGAAAAATTGTTAATTTTACACAGAAAAAAATGGATGGTGCTGGCGACAGAACCTTTTGTTCATACGGCTCCCACAGTTTCTTTGTTACACTTACAGAACTTTCTGTCGTGGGAACAGAGTACTCTGTTCCCACGACAGAAGTTCTGTTCTCACAACAGAAAAGTTCTGTAAGTGTAACAAAGAAACTGTGGGAGCCGTATGAACAAAAGGTTCTGTCGTCAGCACCATCCATTTTTTTCTGTGTAAAGGAAAATAACCGTGTGCATTTTAATACTGTACATATACTGAGTATTTTTAAAAGGAAAGAAGGAGCTGCACGATTTTGAAAATACCTACTGTAATCGCGCTGGTTCCTTTTTGCTAAATGCGATCCAAGTGATCCTATCTTAAGGATTATACAGGGTGATCCAGGGTTAAACGGCCAGACTGCAGAAGCGTGCTCAATGGGTCAAAATAAGGCTTGTGTGTTGTATAAAGGGTTTTTTCCGAAAGTGCACCCAGCCAGAGCTAAGCCCCCCCCTCCCCCCCAAAAAAAAAATCCGATAGTAAGTCGTTTTTCCTGAATTTTGGCAACGATTGTAAACCAAATCTCATGATAATTTGTACACTCCTGAACTTTTATGCCCTGAATTTATAAATGATCTAAAATAAATCAAAATCTCAATTTAAAGAGGGGGTTGGGGATGTTTCGGCTCCTGCAGTCAGGCAGTTTAAGGCTGGATCACCCTGTATAATGTGGTATTACAGAGCCCTTTCAAGTATGTGTAAATGTATGTTAACAGGTGCGCCAAGCCGGAAGGGCTCAATGAAGAAATATGACCAAGATGAAAAATCAACGGTCCTGGACACACGTGCGACAAACAAAGAGAATAAAACGTAGTATTGTACATATTTACAATTAATACCGTTTTCAGACAAGATTTCGTCGTGAGTTTTGTCATCTACAGCATTAATTTTTTTTTTATATATATTTTTTCAGCAACAGTCTAATTTTACAAGATGCCATATTGGCTTACAAAATAGACACTAAATAAAGGCAGAAATTATACTTCAGGCTTAAACAAAATTTACTGAGGAACGCTATCCTCCTTAATTGGACGTATTTCTGTCAAACGGAACTATGTGCATTATGACGGGAGCCTTGTTATGCATGTATTCTTATGGGTCTCAGGGCTCATGTCTTAATGCACATAGTTCCGTTTGATAGAAATACGTCCAATTAAGACAGAATTAATTAGACATATTTCTGCCAAACGGAACTATGTGCATTATGGCGTGAGCGCGTGAGCCCTGTTATGCCTATATTCTTGAGAGTCCCGGAGCTCATGACTTAATGTAGATAGTTCCGTTTGGCAGAAATAGTCCAACCCAAAATGAGTCGGACGGAAATTATCTAGGTCCAGAGCGTCCTGTCCACGTCATTCAAAATTTTGCTCAGCTTGACAAATCCTGTTTCGCTAGCTGCGAAAATTGGTGGGAGGTTTTTTTTTTTTTTTGATTTATGTATGTATGTATGTATGAGCCGCTTTTACGGCGCGCTAGGGCGCTCTGCGACGCCTATTCTCCACAGGAATCTGTCATGGTAGAGATCCTCCGGAAGGTGGCATCTCTCCATCTCTTCATGGATGCCCTCTACCCACCGTTTGGCTGGACGCCCTCTCCGTCGCCTACCTGGGGGGACCCACTCCAACACCTTCTTCGGCAACCTGGTATCAGCCATTCTCTGCACATGCCCATACCATACCAATTGCTTGGTCATGATATCGTGCACAATCGTCCCCTCAACGCCCATTATCTCTCGGACACGTTCATTCCTGACACGTTCTCTCCTCGAGATTCCAGCCGATCTTCGCCAGAAATCCATCTCGGTCGCCTTGAGCATTTCTTGGGTCCGCTTCTTGGGTCTTGGGTTTTTGTTTTTGATTTAATAGTTTTAAATTGATCGGGCCTATCATTAGGTAGGTAATGCATGTTGTCATTGGGATTTATCCCGTTGCTAATGCTGGTGTTATTATTATAAGATTTCTCACCCTGTTTTCCTTGAAGAATTTTTCGGGTGCTTAAGTATAGTGATGACTTTGCTAGTCACCGAGTTGCACTGAAAGAAAATCTCGGTGTATTTACTAAGAAAAGGGTAAAATTACCAAGAATTCAGGGTTCTATTTGATCCAAGTTTTTTCTTGGTAAAATTACCATTTATGGAATTGGTAATCTTACCGAGAAATCTCGGTAAAATTATTGAACTTTCTCGGTAATTTTACCGAACCTTGGTAAAAACGCCAATATTTTTTATCGACTGTGGTAGAATTACCGAGATAAAATGGCAAAGTTACCGGGCATTGATTACCAACAAAAGTGGCATTCTTACCTGATAAAAAAAAAAAAAAAAAAAAAAAAAAAAAAAAAAAAAAAAAAAAAAAAAAAAAAAANAAAAAAAAAAAAAAAAAAAAACAGTAAAAATACCATGCCACAGAGGAAAGATCCAACTTTTGAGAAAGCAACAAATGCGTTGTTACTCGCTCTCCGCTGAGTATTCGAATTCACGAACTTCTTCTTGCGACAAGACAACCTCCCGCCCGAAGAGAGACTCCGGAGAAGCGCGTGGCAAACCCAACTACTGAAAAAAAAAAATCTCGATGTATTTACTAAGAAAAGGGTAAAATTACCAAGAATTCAGGGTTCTATTTGATCCCAGTTTTTTCTCGGTAAAATCACCATTTATGGAATTGATAATCTTACCGAGAAATCTCGGTAAAATTATTGAACTTTCTCGGTAATTTTACCGGACCTTGGTAAAAACGCCAATATTTTTTATCGACTGTGGTAGAATTACCGAAATGGCAAAGTTACCGGGAATTGATTACCAATAAAAGTGGTATTCTTACCTGAGAAAAAAAAAAACAGTGAAAATACCGGTTTTTAGGTAAGCTTACCAGTCTGTCTTGGTAAAATTACCAATAATTGGTAAAAAAGTGAGATGGTAAAGGTACCAACGGACCGGGGTAAAAACGCCGAGAATTTTTTTTCAGTGTGAGAATCTTAATCATTGGTTGATGAAGCGGACTGTCGCACATTTAACTGTGATAGTATTTTATGTACCTATGACATGACGGGAGAAATTTAAGATTGAATGCAGGCATCTCCTCATTTCCATGGATCATTCATGATTAATAATAATAATAATAAGATGATTGCAAAACTGAATATTTTTGGGAGGCAGCTGGTCTGCATTGTGCTCGTAAGAGGCGCTCTGCTATTACACTAAGCCTAGATGCTAGTTTCATGATACTAGTATGCAAGGATAAACGAAAGATTAAACGCAGATTTCCCCTCATGTGTGCAGAAATTGCATTATATATGTATAGATTCGTGTAAAAAATGGTAAAAGTAAGGATCTTATCAAAGCTATGGAGGAAGTTAAAGATCTCTCTTCATTTATAAGGATCGGGGGGATGATAATGAAAACAAGATATAAATACTTACCTATGAAAATATCATGATAAGGTGAGTGTCAAAATTATATCTTTCAAGAGAGGAGTGTCTCTTAGCAGTTTTCTGTGAGACATTGGAATTTATTCCCCTATTTTTGAGCTTGGTAAATATAAAACAATACATGAAAATAGAAAATAATGTAATATGATGAGGAACGAAGAGGTAGGTCCCAACTTCGAAGAACATAATAGGCTGACTAAAAAGGTACAGAGCACATTCGATATTTCATGAAACGAGAGTTCATAACCAGATTGTTGGAGGGTTCTGATAGTTTATTTTCCAATTTTTGAGCACGGGACAAAAGTTATTAATTTATTTATTTAAGCACCAAAGTACAAGAAGAGAGGGAAAATTGGCTTTAGACACAGACGAAAAACGGTCACCGCACTGTATTACAAACAATTTAACACTTAATACTATCGACCTAACGTTGCACTCGATCCGGGACTCACTTACTTCGGAAAAATTTCCCAAATTTTTCAAAGTTCCGTGAATTCTTTCATTCTTCATTTGTAAAACTCTGCCGCCCTGCGTGACGTCTGACGTCGTAAACGTCTAGCTGAAAGTCGGAAAGCTCGACGAATGTTACAAACGAGACTTTAAAATAAATAAAGAATCAAAAGACGGGAGACCGAGTTATGGGAGAGCAAACGAGGACTTGAGACTTGAAGGAGCCGAGAGAGTTGTGTGAAGATTTAGAAAAGCTTTACAAGTTACAATAAGGTGACACTTGGAATGAAAGATGCCAGAAGGGCAAAAATGGCATACGTAGACCACGAAACATGGACAACACGCGCTTATACAGGGTGTAACAACTAAGTGGCGACAAACTCTCAGGGGTTGTTCAGTGGTTAAAAACAAACAGAAAAGCATAGAGGAAAAAAGGAGGTGTTTGCATTTCGGGAATCTTGGAATTTTTTTGATGACGTAGGTCGGTACAGCGACTTTTATCGTCGATTTTCTTGGAAATGGTGTAATTTATGGGAAAAAGTCATTCTATAAAAATTACTTGAAATTATATCATGAGTTGATTTAAGCAAAAAAATGGGACATTATGGTCCGTTTTTCATACTTCGAATTCCGGATTTCGCTGGCCAGGTCGTACCGACCTACGTCACAGGGTAAACAAACATCAAGATACAAACACCTCCTTTTTTTTCTCCATGCCAGAAAAGTCTTTTACCAAAATACCGCACGTGTTCGGTTATAACGTCATAGTGACTGTCCTAATTGTCGGGACTCAAAAACAATTGTGGTTTCGTAAAGTACTCATCAAGAGCTTTTTTTCGTAAAACCCCTCCTGATAAAGTTATTGACCGCTAAAAAAAATACCGTTTTACCGTGCGTCCTGTTTGCGACGTTATACACCGGCGCCTACAAACCTAACTGGGATACTTCACGCATTGCGCAATGCGTGAAGTATCCCTGTTAGGTTTGTAGGCGCCACGTGTCAATCTTCATTTTTTTTTTTTTTTTTTTCTTGATAGGGCTACATCTTGTGCTGTAGGTGTGTGGATCCAAGAATCGGGCTGCTTGAGCTTGACTCCATCTTGAAAGTCGTCGATTCAACGACGCGCTCTCCCTGCTCATCCTCCTCGTCCTCTTGGCCCTCCGAGCGGATGGTGACCGTCTCCGACTCCTCCAATCCGAGGTGGATGAATTTCCGCTGGAACTCGCCGAGGGCACAGCAGTACATGACGCCCTTGTCCTGGTTGTTGGTGTCCCAGTCGAGCCACTCGTAGGCGCGGCAGACGTCCTCGCAGAGGATGTCACCCTCGGCCACCTCACGGTAGGGGTTGTTGAGTCCGACCACGGCCACCCCCTCCCGCTGCTCCGGCCGGTAGAAGACCTTCCAGTAGTACTTCGGCACCGGCACGATCGGCCGACCGTCCTTCTCGCCCAGGTAGATCTCCACTTCGTTGTCGTTGATGTCCTTCAGAGCGATCACGCCGTGGGTCCCTGGAACATGCGCAATGGAGATGTTGTGAGGGAGACTGGAGTGAGGAATTTGCGATTTGACTGTTGATTCCTCTGTAAAAGTTGGCGAGAAACACGATGGTGTGATGGCCACCCTTATAAGGGAAAGGTCACCCTTCCTTCAGAGATGGGTTCGACCCTCTATAAGAAGTAATTTTATAAAATTTAATATTTGCTCTTATGAAGAATCAACTCGATTACTGGAGGAGCGATTAATGAGATGTATTTGACGAAATACTTCGTGATTCACCCTTGGAGTGAAAAACAAAGTATTTTGACAACTACAAATGCTAAAACAGTGTGGGAGAGCACATCAGCAAACTGATCAAAAATGAAAATTTAAAAATTCATGCTTTTTACGCTTGGGATTATTTCAAGTTAAGGAAGACAAGAAGTTTGGCGTTTTACAAATTTATCGATCAGAAAAATTTTGAGAAAATTTTGAAAAAGTGAAATTGACGAATATATTTGACGAAATAGTGAAGTCGTCTAAAATGACAAGATATCAGAAAGAATAAAGAAAGGTCTTTCGACGATTCACCGAGATGTCCGGGGTTTCCAAGTTCCAAAAAATCGTAAGTCCAAAAATAGCCAAGGTAGAAAAACAAGAGAGAGCAGTACGAGCTGAGTCCGAAGTAGGCAGGAGAATGAGATCCCGCCAGGACGAGGCTCCCGGCAGGAATAGCAGATTGAACCTCGATAAAAAGAGCGTTCGAGTTTGAAGTTTATCAAAAAAGTTAATGAGCGCAATTTAGATAAAGAGTTAAGCTCCTTATCTAAATAGCTCAATGGTGCAACTGGTTTTCTCATAAATCAACTCCCAAGCTCAAAAAGAGCTCTCAAGTTGAGGCCAAAATGGAGGGGATATCCCACGCTATCCTGAGAGTCCACCTCTAGGTACATCAAGACAAACTCTCCATGCAAAGATAGGGAGCAAATACATTGACAGACATTGACAGGGCTGCCACTTTATTTGGGAACTCTAAAACTGAGAAGACGGCAACCCTGCTAATGTATTTGCTCCCTATCTTCGCATGGAGAGTTTGTCTTGATGTACCTAGAGGTGGACTTTCAGGATAGCGTGGGATATCCCCTCCATTTTGGCCCCAACTTGAGAGCTTTTTTTGAGCTTGGGAGATGATTTCAGAGAAAACCAGTGGCACCATCGTGTTTCTCGCCAACTTTTGCTTAAGAATCAACAGTAAAATCGCAAATTCCTCACACATGCAACATCTCCGCTATAGTGGGGGTAGTAGTGGTGGTAGTAGCATAGTGGAGTAAAAGTAAAACTTAAGGAAACATAATTACACAACAGGAAAAAATTCCATGTACTGCAATTAAGATAACTGGAACTATCATTTTCAATTTTTCAAAAATACATGTTAAAGTTACTGAATTAGTCGAGATTTTAAGAACATAATTTGTATTCATAATTTGATGCCGTTCACATTTTTCATAGACTAGATGTAGATTCACTGTTCACAACTCGTGGGTACCGAGATCTTTGTGATAGTTCTGGTTTCAGTTGAATATTCTTCTTCAATGCGCAGTGCGTCGCCCCTTTCGTACCTTTCCGTTTATAGAACACAAAGAAATGTTTTCGACAAAATATGAGGAAGAGTTGACAGTATCAGCAAAACCCGACTATTTCTGTATTTCTGTGTGTTTTATCTATTTCATTGTCAACTGCCAAATTTCCCGATTCCGTGGAGGGGCCGATTTTGGCCCAAATCGTAATCTCTCCTTTTCTTCAGAAAATTTCAAAAAATCGATGGATTCTCAGAAGTTTACCAAATGAATGTCAGTGAAAATCTCATAGAAAACCACTAGTTGACTCTTTGAACAGTGTAGGGAGAGGATTCTCTTTTGCCAAGTCAAAGAAAGGGGCGGACTCTTCAAGATTTCCTATGGTATGCAAATCTAGTGGCTCATTCCTTTAATTTTAAGTCTGGACATGTAATTGAATTATAACTTAAATTTGTACGATACATAAATAAACAATATATTTAACGAGAAGAGTTGATAATTTTTTTCATTTGCACTTATGTTTGGGGCCCTCTATACGCACGGGCGTACGAAGGGGGGTCCGGAGGGGGCCTGTCTCCCCTAGAATTGAAACAGTATCAGCTGCTCCCCCCCTCCTAGAAATTCTGGACGGTGGGAAAAAATCCTCGTCGATCGAGGATCTCTCTCAATGTCGGGTCTTTAATGAACACACCGTGTTCACTCAGCGAACATCTTTTGAATTTTCATCATGGAAGCCTCCAAATGCATCCAAATAGATTAAAAACTAGGGGCCTGTGCCCGCTACTTTGCCACTAACCACTGGAATAAACTACACGTAAAAAATTGTTGAACAATTATGCTCAAGTTATTTAAGAAATGAATGGATTAAAGAGCCGACGGGTGCACATGAAAACAAGGGTATTTATCTCTGATTGCAACGTTTTGCACCACTTTTTTCTTCTTTTTTTGACACCGTTTTTAAAAAGCTGCACATAGTTTTTTTGAAGGGTTTTTACAAATATGTTCCTAAATGGTCTCAAATGTAAGCATCGAAAATTTCGACGTGATATTTTCGTTCATTCTATTTTCATTTTATTAAATCAAAATTAATTTTACGCAAATCAAGTTTCACAATCGCTGCATCGTTTAACCATCGTCCGATTTTCTGAATCGTTGCAATTAAAATACATATTTACCTTTTAAATGTGGTAAAAACCGGGCAGGGACCGTCAAAAGAAATAACACGTGGTTCTATAGTTTTATAGCGATTTTAGCGCCGCACAAGCCAGAGAATAAGGGAGCGCGGTCGAGTGTCGAGTCATCTTCACGGTGTGATGCGCCTTCAATCCAGCTAGCGGCAATGTGCCTATACCCGCAGTCGAATAGTTATCGCAAATAACTCTCGCATTGAGTTTAGTGCAATGCGAGAAGTATCCATGCAGTCTAGTAGGCGCTAAGACGCGTTTGACGCCGAGCGCACTGTTTTGCGTAACGCGTGAAGTATCTCGGCAGTCTGGCAAGCGCTGATGAAAATTTGACGCTGACCACACCGTGTTTGGTGCGATTATTAAAACTCGCGTCAGGATAATCGCGGTATTGAACAATGGGCCTGAAAAGTCCCATGTTGTGTTTCGACGCCGTATGATCATTCCAACGTTGCCGCGTCCCTTCCGATAAAAGATTTTATTCTCCGAAAAGTTTGGAAAGTTCTCTATGTTCGCTTTTTTAGATTGAATAAACCATTAAAGGAGGTACGAATTTAGGCCTTCTGATACATGGTTCTTTACCAGAATTTCACGTAGAACACGATTCGCGCATCGAAAACGACGGAAATCGACTTCTGGCTAAGATGTTAACGTTTTTATTGTTCATTGGTTACGGGAACTTTGAATTGCCTGGTTACAAGAAAAACACAACCCTACGCGAGTGAAATTGCTCACTACAACGGCTTTAGCAGACTGCTCAATCGATCATTGTTTCTTTCCCACACTGTGTCGTTCAAAGTATGTAGAATTTGAGCCGAGCGTCAAGATTGAGGCTGCTATATTTTCATATTACTGAGACTGTCATAGTGACGTTTGGCGTGTGGTTTAACCTAAGTAAATTGCTCTTTCTTCCATGAGCGGAAAGGTTCAATTTATTTATATAAAAAACCGTTATCATCACAGTGAGGAGTTAATGTAGAGTTAGGATTTCGATCCCTCGATCGATTTCCTCGTTGTCTATTGATGTTCACACCGCCAGCCTGAGCATTCCTCCAATGTCGCTAACCTTGCAAACATAAACGATCATCTAAACTAGTTTCACCTCTACTCCCAATAAACTATGAATTCCGAAAATTACCGTCGCAAAGTTTACTTTTTGCAAAGAATGTACCTAAGTTGCACAATCCCAGTAACATCGAAATGCTCTTAGTTCCTTTTTGCAAAATGCGATCCAATTGGTTGTTGCTGCAAAAAAATATTTTCCCACAACCTGCTATACAATGCTCCAGTGACCATGTAAGTTGGCCCGAGCACTAACTTTTCGGGAAGAAAGCCTTTCCCCTACCTGGTTTCTCACTTAATATCCGCCCGAGTTTCGCATATCTTCCGTTTCTCCTCATCGCAGCCTCCATCAAACCGCAAAATTGCCCGGAAACTAGGACCGCACATCTTATCTGATAAAATCGTTCGCCCTTTAGACCGATTCTGGGGGGTTAGGCTAGACTAGTCGATGAGTCAACTGTTGATCTAATTTCATTACGTGAACGTAGAAAAAAACGGGGTAAAAAATCACTAATGTGTGATCAATTTTCAAGGACAATTCTGTAATTTCTCCAACGATTTTAAATAGATTAACGCACGTAATATCCAAAATCTAAGCTCAGATTCGGATTCCTCGTGATAAACTGATGCGATTTCATGCATCAAATTTTAGAATAGCGTGAAGGAAAGAGGTTTAATGACGTAAAAAAACACTAATGTGTGATCAATTTTCAAGGACAATTCTGTAATTTCTCCTACGATTTTAAATAGATTAAAACGCGTAATATCGAAAATCTAAGCTCAGATTCGGATTCCTCGTGAAAAATTGATGAGATTTTATGCATCATATGTTAGAATAGCGTGAAGGAAAAAGGTTTAACGACGCGTATAGATTCTTTCGTACTGCCCCTTTGAACTACGCCGCCGCGCGGGTCGCCCGAGTGAAACCGAACAGGGAGGCGCCAGGGCTAAGCGTTCAGTTTCGTTGCGAGGAATTTCTCACGATAAATTCTTATTCTTCCTCCTCCGCTGACCCACTGAGCGCTACCCATGTTGCCACGTTGCATTCATATGCTTGAATCTGTATGTCTACGTTACACGGAAAAAACGAGTTTAGGGCTGGTACCTGCACCGAAGGTCCCAGCCCTAACCGGGTAGGAAAATTGCTTCACCTCCACCGCCATAGGGGCAGGCCCGGCAAGCTTAGAGCCCAAATCTACCTACTTTAGGGTTCAGCCCTACCTGGTAAGAGCTGCACCCTTTCCAGGTAGGGCTGGGCCTTACCCCCGCAGGGCCTGCCCCTGTGGCGGTGGAGGTGAAGCAATTCTAGGGCCCAGCCCTAATCTCGTTTTTTCAGTGTACGTCTCTTTCCTTCACGCTATGCTCGGGTATGATACATGAAATTGTATCAATTTTTAACGAGGAATCCGAATCTGAACTTCGATTTTGGGTATCACGCGTTTTAAGTCAAATTTTCCAAATTCGAAAATCTGAAATGACTGACGTGGCTTAAAATGCCATCTCGGCTCCTGTTCGATGGATTTTCCTGAAATTCGGTGTCAGGGTATGATACATGAAATCGCATCGATTTTTTACGAGGAATCCGAATCTGAACTTCGATTTTGAGGATCACGCGTCTCAAATCAAAATCTGTCAAAATTCAAAAAATTCAAAATTCGAAAATCCGAAATGGCTTAAAATGCTATCTCGGCCCTTGTTCGATGGATTTTTCTGAAATGCGGTGTCAGGAGGTATTTTTCGACAGGAAACTCGAATTTTTAGTCCATTTTTTAAAATTCTCAAATTTAAGATGGCGGACGTGGGCCAAAATGCTATCTCGGTTTCTGTTTGTTCGAGTCTTGTGAAATGCGGTATCACACGGTATTTTTCAACGGAAAACTCGAATTTTTAGTCAATTTTTTAAAACTCTCAACTCCAAAATGTTGGGTGTGGCCTAAAATGAGCCCCGGTTCTGGCCTCCGTTTCTGTTCGTTAGAGCTTTGTGAACCGCAGGAGCAGGGGTACTTTTCGACGGGAAACTCGAATTTTTAGTCGATTTTTGAAAATTCTCAAATCCAAGATGGCGGACGTGGCCTAAAATGCTATGACGGCTCCTGTTCGATGGATTTTTTTGAAACTCGGTGTCTGAGGGTACTTTTCGACCGGAAACTCGAATTTTTACTATGTTTAAAAATTCTGAAATCCAAGATGGCGGACGTGGCCTAAAATGCTATGTCGGCTCCTGTTCGATGGATTTATGGCGCCCCCTTACTACATGCCTACTCTTGTATTTCTGTACAGCCGCAAATTTAGGGTCA